AGTTCGAAACGACCTCCAAAATGTAGGTTCAAACAATGTCGTCAAAATGAACTCTGAAACCATATTGGGGGGGGGGGCACAAAATTGGGTTGGGTCCTATAATAGTTTCAATTTCCTATCAAATGGGTCCGCAATGACCCGTTCCAGACCTTGTGGTCATTTTTCAAAAAAAAAAAATATAGACAAAAGTTCACAAATGGTCCCTGTGGATAGCTCAAAATTGCCACTTTGGTCCAAAAAAATTTGGACTAGCACCACCTCCAAAATGTATGTTCAAAAAAGTTTGCCCTTTATTATTTTGTTTTATATTTTTCTTTAATTACAATAATTAGAAAACAATTAAAAATAAAACAAAATTAAAATATTCTCTCTCTCTCTCTCCTCTCTCTCTCTCTCTCTCTCTCTCGTCAAACCAAAACCAGATCTGAGATATGTTTCTTCTCTAGACTTTTCTCCTTAAACACTCAAGGAAGGGAAAATAGAGGGAAGATAGAATAATGGAGAAAGAAAAAAATGAAATCAGAAGATGAATCATGAAGACGAAATCAGATCGAGTTCATCGGTTCTCGGGTTCTTCATTTGAACACACACATGGTAATCTGAAGACGAAACGACGGAGGATAAAACCTTGAATCAAAATCCGCCTCTTTGCCTCATCCCTCCAACAGTAGTCTTCAATCACAAGCTCAGGTCTTCGATGTCCTCAGACGAGAACGGATCTACACCGGTGAAGTCTAGAAACCAGAAGGGTGGTGATTGAAACCCTAATTTGTGAAGCTCCTCGAATCATCTCTCTGTAATAATGACTTACAAAGAATCGGAATAGATCAGATGCTGAAGGAATAGTGGTTGGAGGAGGCACTTACGAACGATTCGATTGTGGGTGAAGGGATGAGTGTTTGGGATTGTGACTTACAAAGAATCGAAACCCCTTATTTTATCTCTTTTTTTAGTCTTTTACATTTCCAGCTGTTAGGGATTGTGATAATGGAGGAATAAGGGAAGTCTTTAATGAGAAGGCTATGGTTTTACAAATCAGGTAATTAGTTCTTGTGATTCTACAAATCCTGTAATTAGGTGTTCTTGTGGGTTTATAAATCTGATTGTTATTATTGCTTTACAAATCTGATTATTCATGTGTCTTTGAGTGTTTTTGTGTGTCGATTTATATTGACCTTATTAAATCTAAGTTTGGTTTGAGCTTCATATGTTTATGAAAAACTGAGATTAGTTGTTGTGGGTATATGTGTATTGATGTTAGTTCAAATCTTCATCGGGTTCCCAGGTCTTCATCATGTTCATCTTCATATGTTTGTATATAAATTAGGAAGAAAGATAGATGGTGTAAAATCTCAAGAACACTTTGATGTATCTAAACTGGACTTTGATCATTTTCTGGAAAACCGATTATAAGACTACCGAGGAGGATCTAAAGTCATTTGATGTTGTTTGTTTGATCATAACATTAGATATTTTAGCTCCAATCTAGGTGTTGACTTATTCTGATGATGATGTTCTTGATTACAGTGCCCATCAAACTTTACTGATTATCAAGATGATAAACAAATCCTTCAAAAAGATTTGCCAAAAAAATGAAGGTTTATAGATATAAATGATGGCGACGAGATCGGAGCAAGGGTTTACAAATGGACGGTGGTGGTGAAGACGATAGGGGGCTGAAGGTGGAGCTGAAGGTGGTGGTGGCTGACGGTGGAGTCGACGATGAGGGGTTCTTGAGAACCCTGAATAAAAAATGGAGAGAGAAAGAAAGAGAGAGAGAGAAAGAAAGAAAGAGAGAGAGAGAGAGAGAGAGAGAGAGATTTATTTTTATTTTTTATTTTTTATTTTTTTAAATCTGAAAATCAGAAAAAAGAGAAAATCATATTAATAGGGGCAAATCCGTCATTTTTAAAAAAACCAGAACAGATTGGACCAAACAAGCAATAAAATGAAAACTTTGGACCTCTGGTGCTAGTTCAAACCTTTTTGAACCAAAGTGATATTTTTTAGCAAACCACGGGAACCATTTGTGCAGTTTAATCAAAATTATAATACCATTGAAAACTAGTTGGATTACTAAATTTGCCTTGATTATATATATTATTATATAAATAATATATATTATATAAGTTAAAATAATCTGTAATATTTATAAACGAAAACAAATAAAATAAATAAAACAAATAAAAATGAAAAAAACCAAGATCCGCAGAAGTGTTTACATTCAACAGAGGTGTTTATGGTTCCGCATAACCCCCTCTGCGGAACCTATGATCATTTTCTGAAATGTTCATTTTTTTATCATTTTCTCCAAAATCACCCTATATTTTGATCATTTGCCGAATTTTCTCTTATTTAATTGACATTAGACTATTGTTATAAAACATGCATGATCAGATAGTGGGATTCTATCATTTTTATTATTAAAAATCATAAACCAGACAAGTAACCAAACCAAGTTGGATTTTTATTTTTAGCTTCTGGGTATATATATATATATATATATATATATATATATATATATATATATATATATATATATATATATATATATATATATATATATATATATATATAAAATTAACATGTATGTGCTCGTTATTGACATGTTTGATTTAATTGATTATATATTTTTCTATTTTAATAAAAGAATTAGTTTATTTATTTTTTGTCATCTTTAATTTTATTAAACCTTCTAATTAATGTTATGTTACTAATCAATTTATTAATTCTTCATTTCAAATTCTCCACTATAATTACATTAAATTAATAACATTAAAATAAAAATTAAAATAAAATTAATATAGATTATAATTATATATTTATTTAAATTATTGATTATAATTTAGTATAATTAAAAAAAATATCCTTTAATTAATAATTTATTTAAAACAATTGATTTATAATTGTGAGTTTTTACTATAAAAATTTAATTAATTTTTTAACCGTGTTTCCCATGGGTTATAAACTAATTATCATATAATTTAGTAAAAATAATTATATTGGTTTATCAATTTAATATTAAAAATTATTATTTTATAATTAATAACAACAAAATAGTTATTTTTAATAATATATAATTATTACTCCTCTAACTATACAATTATAATCCATTACCCTAGTAATTTAATATGGCAATTAGTGGGAAAATGCTTCTTAAGACCAACTATTCTTATAAAACATGCATAATCAGTAATCACATAGTTGGGATCCATCATTGTTATTACATGACCTTCGTAAAACAAGTAACTAAATTAAATAGAATTTTTATTTTTAGCTTCTGTCATATAGTAGGCAACGGTATAAAAAGTGGCTAGTGTTTTAAATATTTATGAAATATGAGGGACATAAAATTGTAAAACTAAAGACGAAGTAAAACGAAAGCTTAACAAATTAAAGAGTAAATTACACAAATGGTCCCTATGGTTTAGCGGTGTCAATTTATGACACGACACGACAAAAATACACGATACGAAACGAAATTGGGACGAAATCAAAATTCGAATTCGTTTTCGTGTCGTGTTCGTGTCAAGTATAAAAAACACGATGTCGTGTTCGTGTTTACAAATCCACACAAATTTGACACGATTGAGCATGTGTTTGTCGTGTTATATATGATTACATATGAATTAAATAAAATAACAGTTATGTAATATTATTTTTGTCGTGTCGTGTCGTATTGTCGTTTTTTAATTGGTTCGTTTTCGTGTTAGTGAAAAAAAACACAACATCGTGTCATGTCGCGTTCGTGTTACAAAAAACATTGTTGTGTCGTGTCGTGTCAGACAAAAATACGAGACGACGGTCCTATTTGACAGGCCTACTATGGTCTGGGATAATTTATATGTTTGGTTCCTAACTTATTTGTTTAAACTCAGAGGGTCCCTGTAGTTGGTTTTTGTTGCACGCTTGACCATTGTCTTACCAAAAAAGACTATTTTGCCATTGATTTTTTAATTTAGTTAAATAATGTGGGGTAAGTAAAATAAGGTAAAGTGGGGGTGGAAGTGGGCTTAGGTGTGTTTATTTTAATAAATTAAAAAAAAATCAATGATAAAATAGTTTTTTTAGGTAAGGTAGGGACTAAGCGCGCAACAAAAACAAACAGTAAGGACCTTCCGAGTTAAAAAAATAAGTTTCGGGCCAAACATATAAATTACCCAAACCATAGGGATCATTTGTGTAATTTACTCCAAATTAAATATAAAAATTGTTTATAATAACGACAACATTTGTCATTCACTTTTAGTTTATTTGAGGTCGGACCATCCAATGTTATAAGATAACAAATTAAACCTCTTTAAAAAGTGTTATATATATATATATATATATATATATATATATATATATATATATATATATATATATATATATATATATATATATATATATATATATATATATATATATATATATATATATAACATTTGTCATTCACTTTTAGTTTATTTGAGGTCGGACCATCCAATGTTATAAGATAACAAATTAAACCTCTTTAAAAAGTGTCATATATATATATATATATAGGGATAGGGAATATACATTATAGCCTCACCTAAGCTTAGGTACTAAGCCTCTAAAATATGTCGTTTTAACATGTTAAATATGCTCGGTTTGGTTTCACTTGGTAAATATATCATCCTCCATAACATTTCTTTCTTTCATTATTGTTTTACCATCTTTGTTTTCTTTCCTCAATTATCGTTTATTACTTCACCCAAGCGAACATTACTAAACCCTATACCTAAACCTTAAACCCTAAATTTAAACCCTAAACCCTAAACCCTAAATCTAATCCCTAAACCCTAAACCTTAAACCCTAAACCCTAACCCTAAACCCTAAACCCTAAACCCTAAATCTAAACCCTAAACCCTAAACCCTAAACTCTAAACCCTAAACCCTAAACCCTAACCCCTAAACCCTATTGTGTCGATCTTGAATTTACATCTTGAAGTATTAACCGTGAATCCATTAACCGTAATCTTTATATAGTAAAACAATGTATTTTCAAGAGGTTTAGTACCTAAGCTTAGGTGGGGCTATAATGTATATTCCCTTTTCCCTATATATATATATATATATATATATATATATATATATATATATATATATATATACAGAGAGAGAGAGAGATGTATTTAAAGTAATTATTGTGTTATTGTATACATAAATGTGGGTCAATCAAAATTAAATGAAAAATTAAATAATTAAATAAATTAACAAGGGTACTTTAGTAATTTGATTAGTAACTTCCAAAAATAATCCACATTACATGGTATTGACTTTTAACCTAATCTCTCCAGTTTAAATCTCGTTCCCCTCTTTATCTAAAAGTCAAATCTTGGCCGATCACCGATCTCAAGAAGTTCATCGATTCTCATCGCAAGGGCTGTAATCCCTCTCCTCTACCTCGTTCTCAGATCCAGAGCTTTCTGTTTCAATTATGTAAAGGTGTTGCTCACTGCCATGATCACGATGTTCTTCACAGGTATCCATTTCCTTAATCTCTACCTCTCATATTCCCCTGCCCTTTTTTTTGTTTAATAATTTGTTCATTTCTTGGCTAGTTTGATCGTCATCAACACACGAAGAAGTAAGAAGGATTCACAAATGGAGCAGGGGAAGGACGAAGGTGGTTACAGGGGCCTCCGGTGGTGGCATGGTCGAATACTCACAGTAACAGCAATCGATTCGGTTTGGTGGTTTAGTTGCGGTCATCGATCATCAACAGGTAAAAGAACATTCTTCTCACTCACTTACTCACTCTCATACACTCTCTCTCTCTCTCTCTCTCTCTCTCTCTTTTCCAATTAATCAAAATAGGTAAAAATGGTGTTTTTTGGGATGTTGTTTGTTTTATCATGAATCTATGAATTGAACAAATTAGATATTTTTGGGTTTGCTTTTGACAGAAAATTGATGGGTGTTTGTAGAGGTGATTGGGTTTGTTGTTTTCACAGGAATGGGAGAAGGAAGAACACGGATGGGGGAAATGCCCTCTTTTTTTTTTGTTGGTTTGCTGGGTACATAAGGACAAGAACAAGATTGTTCTTGTATTTCTTGACTGGAATCCATGTAGAATGAAAGGAAACATGGGGTTCATTAAGATGAAACGTAGAAGAGAGGGGTGAGTGGGGTTGATCTTGTGACAACATCTATTGTGAAAAGGAAATACTTTTTCCTTTGGAATGGAATCATGAATTTTAATTCTGTTATGAGATTATGCGTGTTGTTCTCAGACCTTCTGGATGCAAATTCAATCGGTGACTTACGGTTTGAATTTTCTTCTCTATACTCCTGAGTTTTTCTTAAGCTAATTCATATTAAAACTAATTTTTGTATTAGGGTAGTTTAAATTTATGCATTTACTTTCGTTTCTCTCCTATGCACAAATTTAGGGGGAGAGATAAAAACAAAACAAAATTTTAAAAATTTAAAAATCAAAAATATGGTGTTAATGGAATGTGCTTGCAGGAGATGTTTTGGGAAGTGAAATAATCATGTGATAACAGGCAATCTAAATATATGTAAGGAACTGAATCTGAATTGTCTAGGCTCTGTGTTCAATGCGCTGGTAGGCACAAAAGATTTTAAACGGACTTGACTAGGGAGAGTTGAAGTTAATGAATTCAAGGACTTGACAAACCTTAACCTAGTTAGATCCGTTTAGCCTGACATCACGATGCTCGGATAGGTTAAGCAAGGAGATATACACGGGAATCTACCGGTCACATTAAAATAACCCGTATCTAGAACTGTGGATTAACTTTTCCTCGATGTGCGGATTCTGTCCTTAATTCCGGTTGTATGGGGTGACTGGGGAATTCCGATAAATTGGGTCTGTAGAAGGTTATTTTCTTTCTTTCTGTCTGTTAGTCATATGTTGCCTCCTCTGTGTAACTGGAAGAGATCCGACATGGACTGTAACATATGCAACTCTATCTCTCTGCATCTTCTATCTATGCAATTCTTTCCATCTGTTAGCCATATATTGTCTCCTCTGCGTGACTCAAAATCCGACCTAGTACACAGTATATGCAACGTTCTCTTCTCAATCCCTCTGAAACTTCAGTTAGTCATATGTTTCATCCTTTGCGTGATTGGAAAAGATCCAACCTGGATGTACAGCATATGCATTGTAAATCTATCTTCTCTTTTAATAATTGTCTGCTCACCCGTTGTAGGGAGTATTTTGGAAGTCCTTGATGGTTGGGGCATGCCAGGAAGCGGGAAACACATTCTAGTACAATTAAAATTGAACACATACAGGTTGTCTGTAGATCTCGTTGCTCAATTTAGGTGGACAACAATATCGTTGGTCGTCATCAGTTGAATGGTCCTTAAGGAATAGTATCTAGGAACTTAGGATCACATTGTCTTGTCACTTATAGTATGTCCTAATTTTGTCACAATCTCTCGTGTTTAAGTGGACCACAATACCGGCGATTGACCAGATCTATTCATTAAGGGAGAAGTACTGATAAACGGATAAAGGCTGTCTAAAACTTTGATCCCAAATCAATCTTAAAGTTAGCTATTATTTTTGTTTTTTTTAAGTTTGTTCATAGTGTTCTTCTAATTTAAATAAAAGGGGGAGAATTAAAAAAACAAACAAAAATCAGAAAATTCAAAATCAAAAATAGTGTTATTTCTGTTTTATTTCTTCTTTAGAAAAATCAAAAAATCCAAAAATATTTTTGTTTATGTTTTATTTTTGTTCAGAAAATATGAAAAACCCAAAAATATTGTGTGCTAGTTTTTCATTTAGTATTGTTTTGTCTTGAAAAGTGAATTCAGGTGAAGATGAAACTCATGGAATTTGTGTCGAAGAATTATGAGCCAAGGCTTCGTCCATGAGCATCGAAGAACTCTCATTCGAAGGAGCAAGAAATGAAGATTATTCTTTTAACATTCAATCCATCAACCCCAGAAGAAAGGTGAAGCAGAAATTGAAGATTATGTGACGGGTTGCATTGAAGCCTCCTCAATCAGTCTGTTGCTATCATTGTACCTGCTGAAGTGATCCATAAGACTTGTTCTCTCTGAAGATTCTCAAGCTGAAAGTGCTATCTTTCAAGTATCAGTACGTCAAGCCTCCTCAGCCAATGTGCGTTCAATGTCAAATTCTGAAGAAAAGCTCAAGGTCTCAAGATGAAGTCATTCATGGAAGATTCATATGTTCAACCTGATGCTGTGAATAAATCGAAGGTTAAAGCAGAAGTCAAGCTCTCATTGAAGATTTACAAGAAGAGTCAGCTACTTTTTAGGGGGAGCTTGTTGGGTCAATTAAGAAAAGAAAGCTATAAACCAAGGGGGAGATTGTTGGGTCAAAAATATGGTTTATACTTTACTTTTCTAGAAAAATGTATTTTGGTGTCTTAGACCGTAAACAATTTGGTGTTTACGGCCGTATACGTGTTTACGGCTGTGTTTACGGCCGTAAACCCATTTACGGCCCATGTTCACCAAGCCCATATTCCCTAGTAGATATATAGGTGTTAGGGTTGAGGAGTAGAGATTGATGAAACACAATGAGTGTACGACCAAGAGATTGATGAAACACAAGGAGTGTACGGCCAAGAGATTGATGAAACACAAGGAGTGTACGACCAAGAGAGAAACTAGAGATAATTTTTGTGTGTGTGAATATTTTGTATCCGGATCTTCATTCTAATCAATTCATAGATGGATTCATCATATTCTTCTTCTTCTTCTCTTCTATTTTATCTGACATCATCCGTTCGATTGGGATTTCGCACCATCAAACGGATCTGATTGATACACATGCATTTTAGGGACTTACACTCAATCTCTCTTCTTGCCTGTCAACAAAATTTGATGGTTAGCATGATCCTAATTGTATAGTAGAACTATAATTTGTTGGAGTGAATCTATGAATAGTGTAAAAGTTGCCATTAATTAAACTCAAGATTCAGGATGTTATGCTATTCTGACGCCCAATATCATTTCCAATCACTTGTACTACTTTTTGATTTTTATGCCTCGATTATTGTGATATTAGTGCAGGTTCCATTCCAAGTTCCACTTGAAGTAAATGTTATCCTCATCGGTTTCAGTGGAGATAGAGGCTATAGATACACGTTAGATACTCAAAAATTGCAAGAGTTTCTTCAAGTTGGCTTCCCTACTCACAGGACCTCGTGTGTGGAGATAGGCAAGCCCCTTGATATTGAGCATCACATGGTGTTTAATGCAATTCTAGTAAGCTCTTTCTACATAGTGTCTTTTAGGGAGAATCCACAGTCCCAGTCCACACTGGTTTACCTTGACAATGTTTCCAGTTTTGCATTCCATTCTGATTGTAAATGATATGTGCAAAAATTGATTTTTGTTTATTATCATAGCAACTCTGTATGAGTAATTTCTCTTTAACTTGATTAAGATTCCATTTCAGAAGATTTAGTAGGATCATCATCCCATTGCTTTCGCATTACTTGGAGTTCGGTTTATTTCAATGTTTTCCAAAGAAACACCTTAGAAATTGGTACCCACAATCATCTACCAATTTAGGCATTGTCTTAGAGGGTAATTATTATGGCTATGATAAATCCTACCAGGATGTGTTTTCTTTTAACTTAAATATCAAAAGGAAAGTAAATGAGGAATGGATTATTATTTTCTTTACTGTGTTAGTCATATCCTGGTTCTTATCATTGCACTTTTCTTTCATCTACTTGCTTACAGGTTGGACAGTCGGAAGTGATTGCATTAGAAAAAGCTCTGAAAAGTAGCCATGGTTCCTGATGGCACTGCCAGAGACGTAAAGTCAAGTGTTTATTTTTGTTTTAATTTATAGTTATGCTCAGTATTTCTATTTAAATCGTATTTTCTTGTAGACTGATTTTGGAAGGGAAGTGCCTGTATTCGAGATGATGCAACAATTGTGGAGCCTGAATTTCAAAAGCTATAATCCTATCTATGTTACTTTGAGAATATAGGATATTCTGCTGAAGAGATTAAGAGATCAATGCCAACTGCAATTTTTATTGTGAATTTTGATAAGGTATGATCTAACTCCATGACCTTTTATTGATTGTTATCCACTATTTACCTACCCTAATCTTTATCTTGGATGACTCGTATCATTTCATACTTCTTTTTAGAACAAATACCATGTCATCAATTTAGATTCCAGGTGTGTCATCTCAATTATAATATTTTTTCCGTATATAATATCCATTGTATTAATTTGGATGTGATTCATATATTTACATGTGAATTACATGAGATCCACATGTAAATTACATGTGATTCACATGTAAATCACATTTGATTCACATGTAGATCACATCTGATTCATATATGAATAATATGTGATTCACATGTAAATCACAAGTGAATTATATATATATATATATATATATATATATATATATATATATATATATAGACACACATTGATATGTTAATCACATGAATATCACATTTGATTCACATGTAAATCACATTAGATTCACGTGTAAATCACATATGATTCATATGTGAATATCATGTGATATACATATGATACCATATGTAAATATGGTTCATATGTGAATCGTATGTGATTCATATGTTAATCACATTAAATCATATATGTATTTTCGTGAGTGTTTTTGAATCAATCATTTGTTTTAATCTTCTTGTAGATTTGCAAGAAACTGTGGTGAATGTTGAAGAGGTGAAGAATGATAAATTGAAAAAAAAAAAAATAAGGAAATATTGACACGAAGACATGAAAACACTTTGTAATTTGTAGCATTTTTTATTTTTTATATTTTATTTTGTTTCAAATAAAATACTTGTACTATTATGTTTATAAGTTAATTAATAAAAATGAGATTTTTTATAATTTACTTACGAATATTGGAGTATAAGAAATATGCATATGTACATTTGAAAAAATATGCATAAGCACCTAAAACTTTGATTTTTATTGTTAAAAAAAAATTAGAGTATTTTTTAAAATATTCTAGTTCTTTTTTTAAAACTTATTGATTTTTAAAAGTTTACTTTTTTTTAAAAAAAATACAAGTTTTTTGAAAAAATTGCAGTTTCTTTTTTAAATTGCAGTTTTTAAAAAAAATGCAGCTTTCTTTAAAAAACTTGTAGTTTTTTAAAAAAATTGCAGTTTTTTATTTAAAAACGCAGTTTTAAAAAATATATAGTTTTTTTTTTGAAAAAAAATGCAGTTTTCTTTATAAAGTTGCATTTTTTTGAAAAATTGCAGTTTTTTTTTTTAATTTTTTAAAAATTTTTTTAAAAATTCATGTTTTCTATAAAAAAACTGCATTTAAACAAAAATATTGTCTTTAAAAAATCCGAAAATTAGATTTGTTATGTAAAATTTTAGACATTTATATTAATATATTCAATAACACAAAAAATTAAACATTAAATGAGATTGGTAAGATGACGATCATGTCGTTAATGAATTAATTTTGATCAAACGCGTCACTTTTAGTTCTCGGGTTCTCGGGAAACTATGAGTTCTCAACTGATGTCACCCCTACACACACATACATACACACACACAAATAAAGGTTGGAGAAATCGCTCAACAGTAGCTCGATAGTGAACTGGGGTTAAGGAATGAATCGGTAGATGGGGATTAATCGGGGACCATTAGTTATTAAAAAATTAATAAATGTAACATTAATGCTAAGAATAAAAGTAAACAAGTTAACAAATAATAAATATGTAATACATAATTTATTTTTCATTTCACTTTTTAACTTTCTTCTCTTAAGCATTTACTCAAACACTTGGCATGCTAGTTACAAGCTTTATTCTCACGAATGTCACAAACACCATGAGGACCATATAATCCATATCGATCATAATTATCCATTTGTGCACTCAAATAAAGATCCCATACTTGCCTTCTTTCGATCTGAATGATCCGTTGAATCGCACCATTTGGATTCAAAATCATTCGAGATATCGTGAAATTATTCAAAAGCTTGTATTTGTAATAAAGTTCCTGCTGAATCGTAATCTATTCCATGGTGGTTGTAGGGGTATATGGTGATGGTTGGAGATGGAAATAACATGAAAGCAGCAGATGTGGTTACTATGGAGGTGTTCTTGGTGGTTTGTTGTAGGTGTGAGAGTTGAAGAAGAAAAAGAAATTGATTATGTTGTCTTCGGCTATCAATCATATTCGTGAACCCAATTACTTATGTGTTGAAAATATTTTTATGTAATTTTCACTTAAAATAAGTTGAGTACTAATTTACATTTTCTAACAAACATTATCAGAATGTTTCAGGTTAGAAAGATCCTAATGATTCAACAAGCCTTTGAAGAATCAGATGTTGGAGCATTTGCAATTGACATGGAGCACTTAAAGTTAACTTGGAGCACTTGTTGTACATATGAAGCACTTGATGAACATGGAGCACCTGTAGTTTACTTAGAGCACTTGCTGAAAGCAAGTTGGATCATCAAGATCTCAGATGGCACATACGGATCATATGTGGAACACCAAGACATTGATTGATCATCTGGAATATTGATGACTCATCAGAAACATTGTTGGCTCATCCACAACTCTATGGCTGTAACAACCATAAATTTTACGCCAAATTTAAACTTTTTCAATCATAAACAAAAACCACATAGCATTGTTTACAAAATGTTTTCAAATCATTTTCCATCAAAGTGTCCCAAAATCATAACATAAGGAGGAGGAGTGATACGGTCACACCTTTGCCTTTCCACGATCTCCTGAAGTACCTGAAATAATAAATTGAAAACTGTAAGCCCAAGGGCTTAGTGAGCTACCCCCAAAATACCAATACCACACTGACAATACCACAACAGTAATAATCAATTCAATCAACATGCATACTGGGCCATTGGCCTGACTTGTAACGATTGTTTCCGAGGTATAAATTTATTTAATTCTTGAGTTTATTTATTGGGCTATAATTGAATTGTTGTTGAGAGTGGACCTCTTTTTGGGCTGAAGTGTAAGCAGCCCATAAGCCGTACGCGGGGCGTAACCCCCTTGTACGCTGGGCGTACTGATTAAATGAAACGCGGGGAGGCTGAGCGTACGGGCAACGTACCTTATGGTACGCCCAGCGTACGCGACCAGGTGGCAAACCCGAATTTTAGGGGCTGAGGCGTATTTAAACCCCATTATAGCCTCCTATTTGGCCTCCTCAGTTATCATTCACTCTAGAGAAACCCTAGTTCGTCCCCTTTGCTCCTTGTTTGTGTGTGTTTGATCTTTGAGCTTATTTGTGTGAAGAAGGAGAAGAAGAGAAGTGGAAGAAGAAGAACTTGAGCACCTTGAGCTCATCTATCTAGGATCATTCCTTCATTTGGCATTCAAAAGAGGTATAAAGCTTCCAACTTACCTCTTGTAAGTTTAGATCTAGGAGTTTTTGGAAGTTTGGACCTTTTAGGTCCAAAGGAAGGACCTTTATATTGCAACTTCATTTTTGGAGCTTGGGATTGCTATCCTTGAAGCTCAAGAGTCCCCATAGCAGTAAAGTTTCGATCTTTGTGGCTTATATGGAACCATGCATGAGATCTAGTTAGTTTTATGGAAGTAGAATGTTATTTGTGGAAGTTTGAGCCTTTATGAGACTTGTAAGCCATCAAGTAAGCAACTTTATGGCTTAAGTCATGGAATAAGCTTAGGATCTGGATTTGTAGCTTCTGGATCGGATTATTAAGCACTTAATGAGATGTTGGCTTAACAGAGTTGTACATTGGGCGTACAAGGAAGTACGCGCCGCGTACAAGCCAGCAGCCGGTACGCTCAATGTACCTTGGTGTACGCCCCGCGTATGCTACCAGTTTGGGCTTCAAGTGTTGGACCTCGGTGTGGGCTGGGTTTCAGGCTTAAGGTCCTTAGGCCTTTATGGCCCATCAGAATTCAGTTGCTAAGGACCAAGGATTTAGTATTGGGCTTGAGTAGGGCCTAATATAAGGGTTCTAGGCCCAATATAGCAAATTGGGCCATTAGTGGGCCTATAGTGGGGCCATAGATGGACTTAGAAGGAATTAAGGATTTGGGCCATGTTTGTGTCCCACACCATAGTAGGGGTAAAATGGTCATTCTACCCATAGAGGAATCCCTATTTTGATTTAGTATTTTATTTCCCATGATAGCTGGGAAGTAGCCGGAGCAGCAGTCAGGGATTTCTTATTCAGGATTTCAGCAGTCAGCATCACGAGGTGAGTTTCCTACCAGTAGGAACGGGTCTAAGGCCACAATGTCGGCCCGTTTAATTAGTAGTGGTTTTTGGACCTCGGTCCGATGCAGTAGTTAGAATGTTTGATGCCTTCGTGGCTCGGACAGTGTTTTATGTGTT